TTTGATATCCTTCAGATTATGATTGCTCTTTATTTCATAAATTACGGTTTCATATTTTTAATTGTATAATTTCTGCATTCCATCTCACCAGATATAAATTGATGATCTATAACCTGGAAAAACCCCTAATACGGAATCGCCGAAGTCCCAACGAGTCCAGATTCCGGACTTTGTACTGTATTATGCCACCTTCAAGGTAATATCTAAATAGCTGGCACTTTCTGATTATTCATACCCCCCCAACCAAAAAGCTGCAAATTCCCTGATGACCTTGGAGAGCATTTGCTAACTCATTGGTGACTAATGTTCCAAAACATGTGAAATGTAAGAACAATTTTCCAAACTGTAGCCCACTAAAAATTCGATAAAAAAGTAAATCAATCAATAAAAAGGAAGATACATCAGTAATAAAACACAGTAGTTACATATCATCCTATCAACTGTCACCAAGAATAGAAATTTAGCATCAATTACGGATAAACATGACATAACGCATTCATAATATCCGAGCTTTTGTGTGATATTATCCTGACTGATTCTCGATAAGCCATGTTATGTTTTTATGCACAAGGAAATTAATTAACTTTTACTGATGTATTTTTTATTGCATTTTGAAAAAAATTATTAAAATGCAGGACCTACAGAATGGTGCGCAATTTCAAAGCTATGGAATATTACCATAACTTTGGGATTAGTGGAGTACTTTTTAAAGTTAGGGGAAGTACATATTTAATGGACACGATACGGTAGTTTATTTGAAAACTGATTTAAAAAAAATGGCAATGCAACAGGAAAATTTGTGGCAAGCATATATCCATTAGAAAATGAATGTAGTTCGAGGGCTTTACAATCACATTTAGGACTGCTTTCTGGTTCATTTACAGCTGATCGAGAGAATTAATATCTGGGGTTCGAGTAAATTTAAGGGTGTCCTTGGATTATCGCTAAGTTGTTGTTTCATTTATGATAACCTCAGTAGTTGAATGTTATGGAAACCATATTATGATGTAATTGGTTACATTATTGCCGTCAATTGGAATTGTGGGAAAAGATTTGGAAAGTGTGTGTCAAAATTTGGGTAAGACGTATGTTGTTATTTTGTGATTTACACGGTAAAATGGCTGAATGTAGTAAGATTAATTTGAAGTTTCTGTACAATTTGGAATGAAAGGAAAGAAAGCATTAATTGACTGGTGTGCAAATGAAGGTTTACTTAATAGCTATTATTAAGTGTCCTGTTTGTAGGAAGGAAATGTGTATGGTCGAACCGTCAGACAATACCGGCACTACGGAGGATATTTTCGTGAATTTATGTGGTTACGCCAGTATACAGATTCTAGTTCAAAAAATTTTTTCGAAGTTTTTGGATGCTGTTAAGGAATTTTGTTTGACAGAAGACATGTAAATTCGTAAATAAGGTAAGTGGATATTTCCTTTGTGTAGTGCTAAGATGAATTTCCCTTTTTATGTTATTTTATTGTTTGATTTAAAATGTAGTTTATTGAGATTATGTATCTTTTGTTTGGCTCTACTGTACAATCAGGTGCTCATTTGAGTTTTTAAGTGAAAAATAGATTGATGCGTACATAGACATAGTGAAGGAAGTGCTCAATGCCTAGTTTGTGCAATTCTCTGTTTTTTTTTTTTTTTTTTAACTCAAAATAGGTCAATGTGTACATGGATACAGAGTTTGTGCAATTCCTCGACTTGTTATTTGGGATTTGTGTAGCAGCGATTTTTGGCGGAAAAATCGCTGCTACACAAAGCCAAAATAACAAGTTAAAGAATTGCACCAACTTTATGTCCATGTACCACCAAAATCGAGAATTATCACCAAAAGGCACCCATAAATATATTTTTACCACATTCACTGTCGGAAAGCGGATCTGCAGTCAGAGCAGGGGAAATAACAACTGGATATGGCTGACAAAACAGCAATAGATTGGGAAAATTATCTGCCTGAAGTTTCTGCTCATAGCATTCCAAACACAGCTTCCAGAAAAATCAAACAGCTTAACAAAGCAATAAGTAAATAAACAGTGATATGTGACTGTTTATTAAATAAGCTGGTGCAACTTTGGCAACTTTCATGGTTTGACGAAAGCTAAATTTCACAATCAACAGGATAATGCTTAACTTTCCTTTTTAGGAAATCCTTCTCTAATATTTTTGCACTGTTTGGTTGATCTTTACAATATGGTAACTGGTAGTTTGGCGACATTTTGGAGGCGATAAAGGTTACTACCTGGGACTTTGGTAATAATGTGAGCAGTACTCAGTTCCGATTACGCATTATTTTGTGTGAGGGAAATGAGAGATCATGGGATATGTCATGTGATATTAATGGACGAATTACGGTTCTTTAATCAGAAAAGGGGGGAAATCAAGAAAAAATCTGGAAATTTTGTATTTGGCTTTATTCTGTGTTGTGTGAAACAGTGTTCGTGAATTTTTGGATCCCATGGCCGTAACTAAAGTGAATTCGAAATGGGTATTTATATGTATGTATTAATTTAATGTATGTGCTCATTTTATATTTAAGTAGTTTTTCGAATTTAATTACATTTTAATTAAATGATAGTTATTTTGTGAATTTTATGTTTGTAGGAATTTGGTATACGTTTTAGTTGAAGTAAACGTGCATGGAAATAATTTAAATATTTGACACTAAGTATTTGTAATGGTTGCGGGTGGTGACGTGTATAATGTAATAGATAATTTAGAGGTAAAAGTTTTTGGATATTTTATTTATTTTATATGTGGAAATGTTCATATTTGGAAAGGGTAAATACTTTTTCGCGATCAGGTAATTTCATATATGTTCTTTTTTTACCGGGTTTAAAGATTGAGAAAATTGTCATGTATTTTCGTGAAATTTTTCTAATTTATGAGAAAAAAGCAGTGTACATGGATATAGTGAAGAGTGTGCGCAATGCCATTTTTGTGCAATTCTGGGATGTTTTTTTAAGTAAAAATAAGTCGACGTGTACATGGTTTAGTGATATTTTAATTAAATGATAGTTATTTTGTGAATTTTATGTTTGTAGGAATTTGGTATACGTTTTAAGTTGAAGTAAACGTGCATGGAAATAATTTAAATATTTGACACTAAGTATTTGTAATGCTTGCGGTATGAATTCGTTGGTGACGTTTATAATATAATAGATGATTTAGAGGTAAAAGTTTTTGGATATTTTATTTATTTTATATGTGGAAATGTTCATATTTGGAAAGGGTAAATACTTTTTCGCGATCAGGTAATTTCATATATGTTCTTTTTACCGGGTTTAAAGATTCAGAAAATTGTCATGTATTTTCGTGAAATTTTTCTAATTTATGAGAAAAAAAGCAGTGTACATGGATATAGTGAAGAGTGTGCGCAATGCCATTTTTGTGCAATTCTGGGATGTTTTTTTAAGTAAAAATAAGTCGACGTGTACATGGTTTATGTGTATGTGTTATTTTGAAAAACGCGTAAGGAGTATGGTATTGTGCACTTTTTCCCAATTTTGCAGTGAATATTTGTCATGATTAAGCAGTTTTGTTAGATAAAATTTCTAGCATAAGTGTAATTCGGCTAGTAGATTGTTGGAAGAAGTGTTCAGTAGATAAAAAGAAAAGAAACATGTCTTTACTTCGTGAAGACAAAATGGCGGCGGGAAAAAAAAAATAGAGGGTTGCTGTAGGAGAGTTGGTCGCCAAATTTTCGCAAAAAAAACGCCAAGTTACCATAATGTAAAGATCAACCCACTGTTTTCTCCAAAACCATCTTTCTTCGCAACACAACCACACCACCACACAAAAAAAAAAAAAAAAAAAAGAGAATTGTACAAATTTGCTACTGTGCACTGTTCAACAATAAATAAAGTGAACAGTTTTAAATGCGACACAGCAGTCTTCAAACCAATTTCTGACAACATTTAAATACTCTGCTTGAAAGCTTTCATATTACATTTAAACCACCATTTAACGTATTTGAGGATTGTTTCTTGCATTAAAGCTTCTCAAAGAGTGCAAGAGATTCATAATCATTATACATTGACAACTAGGAAAATTTAATTCAAATTCGCCGAGTTTTGCAAAAACAGTAAAATAAGTTTGGAAGATAGATATCCTTAATGATGATATTTTAACATGTCTGAATTAGACCAAACCTTATTTAACTTGTGAAAAAAAAAAAAGCATATATAACATGAAACTGCCCAAAGCCATCTTAACATAATTAGGTAAGAAAGGAAACTGACCAAACAGACCTTTGTTTCAAAGAAAGAAAAAACAGTGTCACTAATGTGTTCTATACTAGTATAATAACAGCATTAGATTAAAACATTACTTAATTGCATTGTTACTTGACTAATGGGTTATGTATAACAATGCTCATTAAATTTAATAATCACTAGAACAATTTCCCTGAAAGAACTTAGTAAAATGCCTTCAGCTCAATGTTTTACTAACTTTTCTTTGGTTACTAGTTGAGACAATGCTATAAAATGTTAGACCATAGGCAAACCATCCTCGCATCTATATATTACGGCCCATTGTGCAGAAGCAAGGGCTATATTAAAGATTACTTTACAGTACTCCAATACAACTTGACTTTAGTTTATCATAAATGCCCACTTCTAATGCGAGGAAATGTAAGATAGTTCATTAATCTAAAAACTTTTCGAAGACTAATGTTTTCATGGTCAAAACCACAGAAATTTACCATTATGCTATTTTTATGCAGATCAAGGAAGCTATTTTCAAGACAACAAGTCTGAGTATAAATAATTCAGAATTTTTCCTAGTATATGCAAAATGCAGAACACACTTTTTCTAGACATATATGCACCAACTTGATACTTCTGAAAAGAAAACACACTTTCGCTATCAGCTCACTTCGACTGTAGTAAAATTTTCTAAATGTAAGAAATACATTTCTTAGATCAGTTATTTCAGTAAACAAAGAATAAAACAGAATAACACTGTTTACAATTTTTTTCATTAATAACACTTACTTCGATAACAATATTGTAATCACAGATGATAATAATACACTTAATTTAGCCCTCGACGAGGAGCAACATTGGTAGACTCTTCTGAAAACTGTTTGATGAGTGCTGTTCTGTAAAGAATCCTACAATGAAAATAGATTCTTAATAAATTTTATCATATAATATATCCTCTGAAAAACTACATTAAGAATTTTAAATAATTCAGAAATGATAATTGACACCCTTTTTATTAAAGTTAAAACTTGAATGCATTCTTTGGTTTTTCAAAGAAAATCAGATCTTACATTTAGCAAAATTCCATATAATAAATTAGTAATTCTGTGCATTATTAGAATACTGACCAGACCTGGGAAAAATAGGTCAAACCCTAGTATACAGTGCATCCTTGGCACGATTTTGAAAATTATCGCCAACACCAAAATGACCCGTTTAACTACTCATTGTATATGTCCCGTTTACTGCTCATCATAAAGCCGCCAAAAGTGGCCAAATCCCTTGTGCACCGGATACTAGGATTAAACCGAAAAATATTTAAACTTAATGGAGAAAGAAAAAATAAAGAGTATATTTGGATATCAGTTTTGAGTTATTAATAGACCTGCATAATGGTTGGCTGGTTAACAATGTTCCATAGCTTTATCTACTTGGTCATTTGTAGGCTGCCCAATTAATTGAAATGAAAACAAATATATAAATAAAGCAATACATCTAAAAATAGATATCGCAATAAATGTAAAAGCAGCTGATATTTCTAAGACTACAAAAAGTACATTTCCTCATAAATATATATATACTAAATCCAAAATTTTTTTAACAGCCACTGTTGAGCAAAATTTTATGCAAGTTGCCTACTAATTGACAGAAAAGGTTAAAACTCGCCCAGTAAAAATAAGTAAATATTCTGAAGAAGAAAATTATGCAAATGTGAAATTTAAAGCCGGATGGAATTCAGTCTTAGATACGCCGATTTTAGAAGGGAAAAATTCTATAAAATAAGCATCAAACAAAATTTGAATTCCGCACTAATTTAAAGTTGTCAATATGCATACACTGAGTAATTTTTTTGTTTGTTTGTTCGTTCGTTTGTTTTGTTCTTAAAGCGCTTGTTATGAGATATTGAATAAAGGTAACTCTTAAAATATAGTAATCGTAAATGTAATAATATTTTTCGAATTTTGAAGGACCAAGTTCCATATTCGATTTATAACTCCCAAATCTGAAGCAATTAAACACGATGTTTACACAAGAACAATTGCACAAATTTCTGAAAACTCAAGAGGTACATCAGAATTATTCTTCTTGTATCAGTATTTCTCGAATAAAACAGTTGATATTTTGATAAAACATGAGTAAAGACAGTATAGAGGCAGAAGAAACCCTTTTAGATTATTCTAACTATGCACTTTTGAGGCTAGCATCACTTAAGAAATTATTTCCATGCTTGTGCAATTTTTACGCTTTGTCACACGATAAAAAACAGACAACTATTTCGGATTTCTAAAATTCCCATGTAATGTTAAATGTAAATATAAAATGTAATCCCTAAAGTCAGCATGTAAATTTAAAATTACCATGCACTTCACAATATACACACAGATAGTTTTGATTCAGACAGCTGATTGGCTGAAATACGAACAATAGATAACTTCTTGGAGAATGGACAAAGAAGTCCCGCGTCTTAGTTATAAATCTGACAGGACGTAAAAAAAAGTCTCATGTAATCAATAAGTCTGATGTCAAAATAACTGCAAATTAAGAGTCAAAGATTAAGATATCAGCAATGATACACATCTGCGAAAAGCAATCAATTTATTTTTACAACTTTTTGGCAAAAATATATCTTACTAGATTGTTTAATACTTACCGATTAAATAAACACGAACAAAAGTCACAATGACATTGAAGTTCAATTGTTTTGTTTAAAGAACAACAAAACATGAGTAGAATACTAATGAACACGTATAACCAATGAGAATAGAAGTAGAAGTGTACATTAGAGGTAGCTTAGCCCCATTCGTGCCATTTTGAACGCAAAGTGTAACCACGCCCCTGTAGTTCGAACGAAAGTTACACCCGCTCTCGCTCCTCAGTGAAGCTCAGATGGTGCACTGTCCCCTCTCTCTCGATCTTATTTGATTCTTCTATGCCAATGGTTTCGCCTTGTATTTCGCTCTGAAAAGCATTCTGAACTTCGTATTCTGAGTTTCTGTAAAAAGGCCTTGTATGGGATACAAGTGCTGAAGTGTGCAAATTTTTTTTTTTCTGCGTACTTTCGTGCTTTTGCACGATTGCACTTAGATTATTTTTGGACTGAACCGAAAATAGCATTTGTAAAGCAAATCCTCGCTGATTATATGAACCTCAAGGAAAACAGAATAACAATACCCTAGATAAATCCGAGCGTACGTTTCTCCGTCTGACAGAAAAATTCGTCAAGCTCATCGCTGATGAATTACCAGAGTACCAAGAGATGTTTTCGAAATATTACCCCTCTTCTTCCACTAATGATGCTGATAACTGTGAAAAGGGAAAAGAGGAAATGGACTTCCAAAATTGTTCACAACAAGCCTTGTAGGTCCCCAGTTCGCCTACCTCGCCAAATAGCAATCGTTTCGGCGCGCTTCCTGATGAAAGTGATGATATCCAGGTCAAGGAAGTCATGGACGGCTCTCAGAAACCGACCAATAAAAATAACACTCTGAACTCTGCGAAGTAGAATCTCAAAATTCTACCATAAGGACTCTTCAATATTGGAAACTCGCAAAAGCGTAAACCAGAGGAAACCATCCCGCTAGAAGACTCCGCCCAGAAGATTGCACCACTTCCCACCACCTCAAGCCACGCTAACTCCAGTGAACGAGAAAACTCCAGAGGAAAGGAAAATACATTTGATTATCCAAAGAAGAGCTCTCGGCTTCCGCCGATCATAATTAAAGACTCTGATTACACTTGAAAATCGGTTACAGCGGCGTAGCTAGAGGGGGCAAGGGGGGCATCCGTCCTCGGGCGCAGAATCCAAGGAGCGCCAAACTGATGTTGCGACATTTTAAAATTAAATCTTCTTCATCCTTGGCAAGCAGTACGGGGCGCGAAATCTTCAGTTGTCCCTGGGCGCTGAAAACCCTAGCTACGACTCTGATCGATTACAAAATTCCTAGACGACTCGGGTTACAGGGATTTCAACAGGGGCGTAGCTAGAGGGGGGCAAGTGGGGCATCTGTCCCCGGGCGCAGAATCCAAGGGGCGCCAAACTGATGTGACGACATTTTAGAATTAAATGTTTTCCATCCTTGGCAAGCAGTAGGGAGCGCGAAATCTTCAGTTGTCCCTGGGCGCTGAAAACCCTAGCTACGACTCTGGATTTCAAGGCCCAAATCAAATCCCAGCATGAATTTCATGTGAAAGTGTTCACTATTGAAGTTCATAAACTTGTTTTACTTGATATTAAGCAGATTAAATTCCACTCCTATGAACTAGCTGCGAGTAAAAGTATTAAAGAAGTAATTCGAAGTCTTCCCACCGATACGAGCGTCACCGAAATTGCTAATGCCCTTACTGAGGAGGGCTTTGAGGTTAATAAAGTCATCCAGATAACGCAGGAAAGGACCAGAAGTCCTCAAGATGCCACTGTTCCTGGTTATCCTTAATAAAACCGAAAACTCCAGAGAGATTCATCGCATAAACTATCTGATGAGGCTACGCATCAAAATCGAGAACTAGAAAGGACGGCGCGGAGCTACACAGTGCTACCGCTGCCAGGCCTTTATTCATGCTCAAAATCAGTGTAGTCATGCCCCCTCGCTGTGTAAAATGCGAAAAGGACCATGAATCCAAGGACTTGTTGGAGTTCCATGGTGAGACAAGACACAAGTATAAAATATATAAACTTTATTTAACACATCAATAATAACATTCCGATGAGAAGGGAAATTCCCGTTTCATGCACACCGCTCTCTAATCACAATCTGCCGCTCATCCGAGGCGGGCATTCGCAGAACTCCCAAACTTCTTACGGTGTTTCCATAGTAACACCATAGAGTATTATCCCAGTGAGGGATACCGAACGATACACAAAAAAATTATACAGAAAATTATATATAGTAGACAGATGTTCAAGGAATTTGACATGTCGTCCAGATTTTGTGATAGTTTTAGGAACATGTGACATGGTAGGTTTCAATATGTCTGTCTTATTGGAAGGTTTAGTGTTAGGGACAAAAGTTTTATCACTAATGGAAAATGCAGGTTTGAGTCGATCAACTGATTTGATTTTTACCGTGCACGGAGATGATAAAGGTTTTTTCATATCGCTCAACGACTGGATGAGGACCTGAGTATGGTTATTGAAGAGGAGGCTTGACTCAGTTCTCAAATAAAATTGAGAGCACGATTTTGAAGATGGATGAATGTGGACAGGCTCTGAACAGTGTTTTGATGTTGCGATGGGAATCAGAAATTGCATGATAGATCGTAAACGATTGACATATGTTGGTGTCGGGGATGGCGGAGGAAGCTGATCTGAGCGCAAAATAACCGAATGCAGTCTTAAGGTAGTACCGTAGACTAACTCAGAACAAGTTGCTTTGATGTCTTCTTTGATGGAAGATCTAATACCCAAAAGTATAAGAGGTAACGATTCTGTTCAGCAAGGATTCCCTTGCGATTTTATGCTGTTTTTCAGTTGGCGATGGAAACGTTCAATGATTCCATTTAATTGAGGTCTATAGGCAGTGGTACGTATACGATGAGTGTCCAGCAGGTTCGTGAACTGCCTGAAAAGATGCGATTCAAAGTTCCGACCCTGGTCAGTAGTGATAGTGGAAGGGCATCTAAAACGAGCTATCCATCCACTAATTAGAGTTTTACAAGCTGCTTCAGCCGACATATCAGATGTGGGAATTACTTCCAGCCATCTCGTGAAGCGATCGATTATGCTCAAGCAATACTGATAAAATTTAGAAATTGGCAATGGGCCAATAAAATCTATGTGAATATGAGAAACTCTGGCATCAGGAAATAAAAATGTCGAAGTGGGTGATTTCCTGTGCTTGTATATCTTGAAACGTTGACATTTCTCACAAGCCTTCACGGAGTTTTTGTTAAAAGTGTGTATGTTAGGCCAAACGTAACGTCTGCGTATCAATTTTGAAGTGGCAGATATTGCGAAAGGTTGTGAATACTTTGGAAGATGATAGGTTTAAATGAAAAGGAAATGGAAGGACGATTGACATTGGTTGTGGAGTCACAACAGAGATAAATATCTTCAAGCGGAAAATACTGTTTGGAGAGCTTTAAAGAAGAAGATTTAGAAAGTTAGTAATTGTTGTAGTTCATGAGTTGTGCTGAGGCTAACTGTTTGAAATCCAGAATAGGTGAGCGAGAAACAGAATCTACTTCTATTCGAGATTATGTGTCAGCAATAACATTTTCCCTACCTTTAACATATTGTATATCAGTGGAAAATTGAGAGATATAGTGTAGGTGTCTCAGCTGTCGAGGAGAGCACTTTTCCTGCTTTTTGTCTGAAAGCTAATGTTAGTGGTTTTTGGTCGGTAAATATTATGAAGTTGCGACCTTCTAACATGTGCGGAAATTTCCTGATAGACTCATATATTGCCAGAAGTTCGCGGTCATATGTAGCCATTTCCGTTGACTGTTATTCAATTTTAATGAAAGGAATGCTATTGGCTCCCATTGACCATTTTGAAGTTGCATGAGAGAGCTGAAAATAGCAACATCAGATGCATCGGTCCAAAGACTGAGTTGAGTACCAGGAATTGGATGTCTTAAGAGGGTAGCATTTGTAAGAGCTTCTTTAGCTGCTAAAATGCCTTTTTGGCGCTCTCAAACCACGGAAGAGGATTTTCAGTCTTCTTAATTGGACGGAATGGTTTCTTTTTGTTAGAAGGACCTTGGAGAAGCTTAATTAAGGGTGACAAAATGTGCGCTGCATGTGGCACAAATCTGCGATAAAAATTGAATAGGCCAAGAAATCTGCGAAGCTGTGTTAAGCTTGTTGGTCTAGGAAATTTAGAAATGGCATCAACTCGATCTGGAATGGGAGAACTCTAGAAATACCTCTTTTAGAGACTTTAATCCTAAGAAATCTAAGGTAGGAACTCCAAATGTACACTTTGAAGGTTTGATTGCTAAACCATAATGATCTAATCTTTGAAAGAGAACTCGTAGATTGTTAATATGCTCTTTGTGGCTTTTTGAGGCAATCAAAATATCATCAATAAATGCATATACACCGGTTAAACTCTCGTCACTTCATCGATAAACCTTTGAAAAGTGCTTGATGCATTGCACAAACCAAATTGCATCCGAGTACTCTCGAAAAGTCCAAATGGTGGGCAGATAGCAGTTTTATGGACATCCTCGGAAGCAATCGGAATTTGAAGAAATGCTTTGACTAAATCTACATGGGAGAATATGTTGCACCCATGGAGTTCACTTGTGAAATCAACAATACTAGGGTTTGTCCTTTATAGTCTGAGCATTAAGGGCTCTAAAATCACTGACAGGACGCCAATCATTCATATCTTTTTTATTGACCATTTGCAATGGCTAAGCATAATTGCTGTTGGATGGGCGAATGTGGCCTAAATCTAACATATGTTGAAATTCCATCTTTTCAATTTTCAAATGATAGGATGCAAGCCAACGTGGTTTGGCAAAAACGGGAGGGCTAAATGTTTCAATATGATGCTAAACTGAATGTTTGACAGTTTGGTTTGCACAAGGAGCTTGAACAATACGAGGAAATTAATTCAACAACTTAGCATAATGATCATTATAAATTATAGATTTCAGTGAATATATACTAACAATATGTAAAATACCATAAGAATTTAATTTTGTGTAAGTATCGTTTAAGCGACGATTTCTAAGATCTGGTTGTAGGCTAAAATAATGTAAGAAATCTGCACCAATTATAGAAGTTTGAACATTGCACACATAAAAAGGATAAACAAACAGGTTTTTTGAACCTAAATCTAACGATAATAACTTTT